CCATGAGCAAGTCTACTCTTCATCATCCGATGTTTGCCATCACTACCGGCAGTTAGACTCAAGATCCTGCTTCGCCACATCAGGCGCCGACCTTGGCTAAGTGTCTACGCGTACTCAACATGCCATAAGAAAATGTGCATGACCTACAAGAACGAGAAGAGTCATATAATTTCTCACACAAACCGATTGTGAGTTTAAGACGCTCATAAACGTTGAATTAAAAGTATCGCTGTCAATGTTATCACGTGGTCTCTATTCTATCACGCACGATATCCTCGCCGTTTACCGGATTCCCGCATCCATCCCACCAAAGCCTACTTCGTATAATACTATCGTGTTACTTATATCTTATCGGCCCACGCACACTAGCCACGCCACGCACGCACGCGCCACACCACACACAGCCGCGCCGGCACGTACACACACACGCGCCACCTCACGCAGTCACAAATCCACACACTCTCTCTCTCTCTCTCTCTCTCTCTCTTCTCTCTCTCTCTCTCTCTCGCTCTCTCTCTCTCTCTCTCTCTTTCGTTCTGCGCGCGCCTCCTCGCCGCTGGGCAATCCTCCTAATGAGACTTGCCTACACTTCAGTATAGCACCTCCTAGACTATATCATAATTAATTATCAGAGTGAATAATAGAGATAATAGTAATAATTGTTAGTATCATTGCGAGTGATTACCTTTTTTAAAGAAATTAATTTAAATCAATAAATTATAAATTATTGATTAATAATTTAAAAAAAATTTAATTTTAAATTAATTAATTATTAATTAATTTATAAATTTAAAAAATAATTGAACAAAATTTGCCATATCATTACAAACCTAGCCGCCCATTTTTGTGCCACTACATGCGAAAACCCTAGAGGTTGATTTATCCCGAAAAATAATACCTTAGCCCCCGTCTTTCGACCAATCAGCGCGCAGGATTTCTATAATCCTCGGGCGATGATATTCTAATCACTATTATTTACTTCTGATGAATATAATTATAATATATAGTTATATTATGGTATATATATATATATTAGTATTAATAGTCTTGTTATACACTCTGGCTATCATTAACATATGCCTTATATTATTTTAACCCTTTTCCTCCATTAGACCTTCAACTGGAAAAAGGTCTTAACGGATTGTTTATCGCTGGATCGGCACCCGCCACTGTACGAGCGATACGCGGATCTGCTCTATCATGCTCAAAAAACCCTGACGTCACTGCGGCGCGTGCATCGCCAGAGTCGATGACCGTCATCGCGACGAGGCGGCTCGTACCTGCATGGCGGACCAGACGACATGTCCGTACACGGGGCGACAATAGGCGGAGGTGCAGAGAGTTAGGTAGACGGTGGGGGGGGGGGAGGGCGGAATGCGGATCGGGTGGGTGCCGCTATTTTCTAGTTATGCACTAAGTTGGCGAAATTGAATAATGCGAACGGGGTGATCTGCCTCACCAAAATTTTTTACCACGCTGGTTTGCTCGCTCCTGTCTTGAATAATGAAATCCGTTCAAATTTCAGTGGTCGTGTCGTGAAACTGGGTCTTCGTGCGCGTTCTTGTTTCCCACACACCCCATCACCAGTGTTTATCGCACTTGCGTTAGTTATGCTTGCTTAGCATCACACGATACCAAATTAACATGGCTATAGTCTTTTCATTGTATAAACTCGTTGAGGGCCTCAGTATTGGCTCCACTTTAGAACAGTCCAAGAGGGAGGCAGTTTCAAACATACACATGCTTAGCAATCGACAGTCGCGGGAAAAAATTTCCCCAAATGCCCCTGTCGATAGTATGTATATTTCTTACAGCCGTTACAGTAGTACTCAGGGATAAATAACTAACAGAAATTCACTTCCACTATTATTAATCTATCTTAATTTCAGTCTGATTACGTGATTGAATCCATTATTATCTAATTCTATTTATTACTTGAATTTATTTATTTATTGATCTACTCCATTATTGATTTATTGAATATTATTAATCTTATATATTATTTAACTGATTCTACTTATTATTAAATCTAGTTATACCTCAATTCTCTTTATTTTATCGGCATCTATTATTATTAATCTATTATTATTGATCTATTATTATTAATCTATTATTATTGATCTATTATTATTAATCTATTATTATTAAGTCCTGATTTGATTATTATCCATTTATCTGAGTTGAGTCTTCACTGTAGTATTAATCTATTATTCATTGATTGCATACTTAATCATTATTATTTGATCTATATTTATGTAATCTATTCATCTATTAATCTATTATTATTGATCTATTATTATCAATCTATTTATTAGTGATCTATTATTATTGATCTATTATTATTAATCTATATATTATTCACTCCTGGTATTATATTTCTTACATCTGTCAGTATTATATTTTGAATTTTGCACAGGGGAGAGATAGTGATCCGCTAGGGGACGGCTCTGATTGGCTAAACTTTTGGTTCTTTTTTTTTCTTATTTATATTATTTTTATTATTTTTAGCGTAATTTTGTATTTATTTTCAGAATTAGGGGATAGACGTTAGCGGTTAGGCGTTGGATTAGGTACGGATATAGGGTTAGGGTTAGTTAGAGTTAACTGATTTCTATATCCACAACTTATTTCTATATTCACTATCTCTCCCCTAAGACCTACTATTATATTTTTATGGTCGTGGCTATGCGTCCGGTTACCAGACGCCCAGCTCCAGGTACGCGTCCGGGTCATATATTCTTATGTAAACCAACTACTTTATTATTTTCAGTAAAAAACAATAAACCGCAGTAGGTTTTTACATAGTTAGTTACTTACCTTTTAGGTATTTTAGTGCAAAAAAATGTGTTATCAACATTTTGAAGCAGTAGTAAATCCAGTACAAATCAACGATTTGAAAGGCGGGCGTGTTTAATGCGTGACGTGGATTTGGCGAATCTGTGCTGAGCTTGTGTAATGGATGAGCGACGCGTTAAGCCCACTGCGTATAGTTTTTTCACAGCCGCAATATGTTTGTGTTATGTATGTGTAACACTTTGTGCTTCTTTATATAATAAAGACCATATTTATGTCTTCAGACACTGCGTCTACATTCGAACCGGTCAGCCTCGTTGCAAGTCGTTTGCTGTCATAACAGATGCTGTAAAGTCATTTAACCGATATTGCTGTATAGTGCCAAGAGGTGGCGCTGCCTGTTACAGTATGTGTTTTCTAGCCGACATCGTACCGCTGGGACTTCCACACATGACGACGGCGGACATAAAACTTGAAGGCTACAGCATTCCCGCGCGCGCCATGGTCATTGCCAACTTCACAGCCATCCTGAACGATCCCAAGTACTTCCCGGAACCGGAAATGTTCTCCCCCGAGCGCCACCTAGACGCGGAGGGAAAGTTCGTGAAGATCGAAGCAGTGATTCCGTTTTCCATCGGTAGGTGTCGTAGCATGTCCATATATGGTAAATGTCGAGCGTATTGTGTCCATATATGGTAACTGTCGTTCGTACCATGTCCATATATGGTATCATCAGGTATTGCATTATGCTCTATATATGGCGAATGGCGATCGTTAGGGTGCTACCATTTATAGCGCGAATGGCGATCGTAGGTGGCCATATATGGCGAATGTCGTATTGTGGCCATGCAGGCGGCGCGGATCTGTGTTCTTAAGCCAGTTGAAATTGCCAATGGACTACCTTGTAAGCGTGTGCGTACGTGCGTGCGTTACGGTGCGTGGCGTGCGTGCCGTGGCGCTGCGTGGTGCGTGCGTGCGCGCGTGTGTATTTTGTGTGTTAAACGCGCTGCGCATTTTGAAAACCATTGCAACTCGGCCTTATCAATCGTAGCGCGGTCGCCGTGCATGTCCGGGAGAAGCTCTCGCCAGGATGGAGTTGTTCCTCTTCTTCACAAGCATACTGCAGAATTACGATATCTCGCTACCAGAAGGCGTGACAGAGCCGTCGCTGGCAGGCGATCTTGGCATTGTGTGGATGGCGAAACCCTATCAGCTGTGCTGCGTACCACGCGAATAGAGATATTTGATAATAATTTAGAGTGTTTGCAAATTTTGCTCGCGTGGTACTACCTGAGTGTAAACATAACAACAACAACAATAACAATAACAAAGTAGGGAATAAGGGATGTATATATATATATATATATATAT